TCAATATTACCGAAAACACAGACATCATCTGATGGAACCCGCAGCCTTCGCCCCTAAGTCTTCTCCACTGTCCTACTCTGTGTTCTGACTCCTTCCTCCTAAGCAGCCATGGACACCATGTCCCTCACGTTGAGTTAAGATGAGCTAAAGCAGAACACTCAACTGATTGGAGTTGGGGTTTCTGACACTGTACATTTCAAAGAACTGGTCCCATAAAGCCAGAGCAAAGGGCAACCTCATTCCAAATACTGGTTTTGCAAATAGACAGCAAGAGTCTTAAATTCAAATCCCAACTTGATTCAATAACAAGGATTTTACATGAATTTCAGATTGCTTCCCAAGGACAGGTTCCAGGAAAGGTGATTATGGCATTACTTATAAAGCAAAAATTGGAAACAGTCTGAGTGATCAGCGAAAGAGGAATCATGAAAAAAAAAAAAAAACAACCACAGAAACAAAAACAGGAGACAACCATGTAATACAACATTATGGGTAAAGCAAAATGGTATTTTCAAAGACTGATTAGTGACACGTGGAAATGCTTACAACATAATGTGAGGTGAACAAAAGATGCAAAATTTTCTATAAAAACTAATTTCAGTTCGCCAGGTGCAGTGGCACACACCTGCGGTCCCAGCCACTCGGGAGGCTGAGGCCGGAGGACCGCTGGGCCCAGGAGTTCTGGGCTATAGTACGCTGTGCCGGTCTGGTGTCCACACTAAGTTCTGCATCAAATGGTGACCTCCCAGGGGTGGGGGACCACTCGTTGCTCAAGGAGGGGTGAACCAGCCCAAGTCGGAAACACAATGATCTCAGTTCTATAGAACAATACATAACATGCGTAAAAAAGACTAGAAGGAAATATATTTAAAATGTTACCAATGATTATCTCTGAGTGGTGGGTTATGGTAATTTTTATTTCTTCTTTGAAAATGACTACATTTTTCAAATTCTCTCTAATGAATATATATAATTCTAAATTAGGAGAAAATTTCTATTTTAAGTAAAATAAATTTGTACCAGGGCTTCGGTGATTTTAATTATTCCAGGGTATGTTCTGGAGTGAGGAAAGCTTTGGCTTAACCAACTATACCTTCTAAACTCAGTCCTAGACAATGGTCATTAATGTTTGGTATAATAGCTCTATTGAGGGGATGGTTTAGTTTTATATTTCTCAGCTGATATATTATTAATTAAATAAAAATATTATCATAACACTATTCAGAGCCTCATAGTTAAATTATTCACAAAGTCTTTTGGCAATGTAAAGCTATCCTCAAGTTAGCTCATTTGAAATCCTGAGGAGAGAGAAAACCACAGGAATTCTTAAAATAATTCAGCATGGCCGGGAGCTAGGTGCTGGCCTCCCCAGGGTTTTGGCACATTGTACACTTGCCTTTGTCAGGGGACACACTGCCAGGCATGGGATGTGCTTGGGGAAGCCAAGCCTCACATTCCAGTCCTCTGGGATAGCCCCTGTGCCACCGTCTCCCTCAACAGACTTGCCCAGAAGACCATGGAGTCCAGGCATCCGTGAAATCTGCTCCAATGTCCAAGTCACCCCAGAGCTCGAAGTAGTCTGACACGGTGTTGTGTTTCCAGGATTGCTGAAGGAATGGGGAGATCTCATAGTTCAGTTTCAGTCTGGAAAATCCTAGAATGAATTGTCAAGGGAACACTAGCTATTGCTACTGAGGCTTCTAAGAAGTTAAAGCTCCCGGGCACCAGGGCTTCTTTATCTTTTCCCTTCCTTCCCATCCTGGAACTGATCTGGAGTGCATTAGTGGAGACCCCACTATTCAGGCTGCAGCCTGGCTTGCTGAAGACTGTAGGCAGTGACCGACCGTCAGCCAGTCAACAAACACTTACTGAGCAGCCAGCATGTGCCAAGCACTGACATAGCTCTGACCAAGTTTTGTGGTAAACAAAGCAGAGCAGGTATATAGTCCCTGCTTCTCAAATCTTTAGTGTGCATGCATGTCACTTGAAGATCTTGTCAAAAATTCAAGTTTTGTTTTTGTAGATCTGGGGTAAGGCTTGAGCATCTCACAAGCTTCCTGGTACATGGACAATATTTTAAATATCACAGATCCAGTACATTAAATACATTTAAAAAAATAAGCTACTATCACTGAATACTTACACTGTGTCAAGTACAGAAAAGCATATTACATGAGTTCTGTCCCTGGGCTCCCCCCAGCCTTGGTCTTAGAGACAAGTGTCTGGAAGGACGTACATGGACAATATTTTAAATATCACAGATCCAGTACATGAAATACATTTTAAAAAATAAGCTACTATCATCATTGAATACTTACACTGTGTCAAGAACAGAAAAGCATATCACATGAGTTCTGTCCCTGGGCTCCCCCCAGCCTTGGTCTTAGAGACAAGTGTCTGGAAGGACATTGGAACAACTAAGACAGATAGGTGATGCTTATGGTCAAAGCTCTACCCACATGAGGACAAGCCATAGTTAGACCAGTGGGCAAGTTAATCTCCCGCCACACATCAACCCTGCCTTGGGGCTCTCAACATGAAGACGTGGTCCAATGTCCTTGGGGGATTGGGGGCTGATGCTTAACCCACAGGGATGTCAATATTACAAATTAGATTGGATTAGATAACTTCTTAGGACTCTTTGAATCCTGAGATTCTAGGAGACAATAAACGCAACAGATGCCGAAACTTACAAATGACCATCGGCCAACTTCTGGCTGAGTAAAGACATTGTAAAAGCATAGCCGGACAGAGTCTGTTACTCTTAAGCAAGGTTTATAATAAGTTCATCTTTCATGTTAGAGACTTTTTTCTGATCACACAGAGTGAAGCACTCAGAAACTGACTAAGCTCTGTGTGTGAGGGGCAAGGCTTATTCATTGGTGGAATCTCAGGCCTATCCCAAATCTGCTGAAACAGAATTTGCATTTTTAACAAATCCCCAGTGATATGCATATGCAAACGTTTGAGAAGCACTAGACTACATGTCTTTTCTGCCTTGTTTACCACTGCGTCCCCACAGCGTGGACAATGCTTGGCTGCTCAGTAAATATTTAGTGACTGCCTGACTGTTGGCCTTTGTCCATTAGTAATGTGCAATTTATAGTGAAATTACACATTAAATTTTAACTTTAAAGGCAGCACAGTTGTTGATCCCAACAGCTAGAAGTTCTAGAGCACCAAATGGCACTGACATTCATTCTGGTGGGCATTGTCATATTAGCAGGGCATGGGGACTTTCCTTCCTTAAGACTTTCTCTTCTTCCTCCTAAAACCCTGCTAAAATAATACACAAAGGAATATACAAAGGACAATGAAAACCAGAGAGGAGAAGACAGCACACACCAGATGTCTCCAAATATTTAGGGAATGAAAAATGGATATGTGAGTGACAAGTGGCTTAGCAGAGTAGAAAAAAACATGAAACCTAAAAGTCTGTACAATCCCCTGAGATGGGATTGCTTCACAGGAGAATCCCCAGAGGGGCTCAGAGACCTTCCTCAGAAAGCAGAGTGAGGCTGCAGTTGAAAGAGGAAAATGCGCCAATCCCTCACCCTACCTGTGGCACCCAGGAGATTCCTCCCCAACCCAGCAAGCCCTGGAGGTTTATTCTTTGCGTAATTAGATCAAAGAGTCTCTGATAGAGACACCAGGCACAGAGAGGGTGGAGGTGAGATGTTTTACTGAAATCATGGCATTTGTTGAACATCTACACCATCACCACCACTTCCAATGCCTCCAGAACATGGACAGCCAGGTTTATATACCCTAAGGAGACTGACTGATTCTTCTCGGAAGCATCTGACCTAAGAGAGACAACCTACAGATGCTGATTTGTGGTGCAAGATGACCTGGCCCCTGCAATTGACAGTCAACCAATGGACAGACTTCCCCCACATACAGCTTCCAGCCTCTGAGAGCTTCAGTCTTAGTGTGATCGTGTTAGAGGAAAGTCTGTACCATGAAATATAGAGACCAAAGCAAATAAACCAAGGGGAAAAGGGAGGGTGTGGCAGATTGTATTTTCCAAAAACAGCCATTCGATAGATCTGGTCCCACATTCTCTTTAAAATGTTAACCCCGTCTCCAATCAAGAGGTGAGCTTTATGTTTTCTCCCCTTGAAGCTGGACGGGACAGAGCTACACTGCCCGATATGCAGCCAGTGGCCACTAGGCACATGTGCCTACTGAGCACTTGAAATGTGGCTCTTGCAACTGGAGACCTGAAATAATACCTTTACTCAATTCTAAATAACTTAAATTTAAAAACTGAAGCAGTGTAAAATATTTTTTCTGTAACTTTATTGTTTTGGTAGGACTATATTTCACATTAATTATTGAAAATTTGCATCTGAGAAAAAGAATTTAGTGTCTGAATTGAAACGTGCTATAAGTATAAAACACATGGGATTTCAAAGACAGTATGAAAAAAGAATGTGAACTATCTCATTAATTATTTTTATTGGTTACATATTAAAATGATATTTTGAATGTATTAAGTTAAATAAAATCTATTATTCGAATTAACTTCAGCTACTTCTTTTTACCTTTTTAATGTGGCTACTAGAAAGCTTGGAATTATAAATTTCCAGATTGAAAGGTCCTACCAAGGCCTCATCATTGGGAAATTCAGAACAATGGGAATTAAGAAAAGATTCTAGGAGCTTTCAAAGAGAAAAAAAAGAAAAAATTGTCCAAAAGGCCAAAAATCCAGGAGAACTGGCTTTAAAATTCTGAGTGGAATGGTTCCAGCTTACACTTTATACCTAGCCAAGCTATCAAATTTGAAGGAAGTATATACGTCCAGGCATCCTTATTTAGAAAGGTACCAGGACAAGGAAGACAAAGACACGGGATCCAGGAATTCAGGGATCCAACACAAGAAGACGTAAAGTCTCAGGAGGGCAGCCGAGCTCTGACAGCAGGCTGAGGATTGGGACAGGGACTGCAGGGCTCAGAGGGTAAGATCAGCAGACAATACAAGCTGGAGAGAGAAGGAGCTTCTTAGCCAGGGGTTTAATGAGGAAGGATGGGAAATTAACATCGAAACTAAACCACATGTAGTTATTTCTAGGTATGTTGAACATTTGTGCTTAAATTCCCTATTCATTTAAATGGCATTTACTTCATTCCACAATGCAGTCTCAGGTAGTCTCAGCTAATCCTTGGCACTGGATTTAAGCCCTGTAAAAGATAAAGAGACTGTTTTCAGATAGTGTAAGCAGAGGTGCCTGGACTGGGCAGGCACAGTGAACATGTGCGTTAAGATTCTTACACTCTGAGTGGAAAGGCCACGGAGGCAGTAAACTGCGCTTTCACACATGGGTTCCTGAACAAGGAACAGGTTCCTGTCTCTCCGGGCGTCCCTCACATTACCTGAGCAAATCCTCACGTGGCCTCAGCAGGAAGGTCAAACACTGCAGACTCGTTTCCAGTCATCATTTAAGTGAAGCTCCATTATCATTCTGTGCGCCTTCAGTCAGCTGCCTGCAAGAGCTTGGGCTCTTTCTCTATCTAACTGTTACCACTGCATTCTGAAAATGTAAGCAGGCTTGGTCCTGCCCGATGTCCTCTCTGAAACTCTGCGTGGTACTGCCATCTCTGTTACCTGTTGCTGCTTGGTTTTAACGTCACTTCTCCATGATGCTTCAGGAGGTTTGTGGCACAAGCAGGGTAAAGATGGGGCTGATGTATCTAAAAGGAAGGAAGAATCAACAACTTCCCCTGCCTTTGTAAAGAAAACAACTGCTGAGCAGAGAGCCACCTGGAAGATACTTCTCCCGGTGAGGATACTTCAAAAAGTTCATGGAAAAATGGAATTGAAAGATAATACAAAAATATCTCCATGAACTTTTTGAAGACTCCGCATATTATTCACTCCTCGCCCATCACACTAGTTACCTCTTTTGTCACCATAGTAAGCACCCTTGTATAAAAGACCCTAAAGAACTAAAAATGCACACTGTGACCCTCACTCGACCTTATCCCATAACTGTTTTCCCCATCCCTTTTGGTAAACCTGAATTGCCTAACCAATGACTGCTAAACCATGCAATGATCCCTCCCACTTCTGAGACCCATCTCTGACCAACTACTTCCAACACTAGCTGAGCTTCAGCGGACTCCTCTTACTCAAACTCTACAGAAGTATTATCCTTCTTTCCCAAGGCAGAACATCCTTCAGCGTCTTCTCATGCTGCAGAATTCCGAACAAAGGCTTATGCTGACAATGCTCTGGTTGATTATCTCCCACAGTGTTTGATGCCAAGACTCGAATGCCTGGACCTACTTCTGATCACCCCAGACCACTCTGAAGAGGATAGAGAATGCAAGAGACCCCTCGAGTCTTCTGCAAGTCCCAGGCACTGGATAGTAGAGTGAGTTCTACCCTGATAGTATTTGCCTTTCTTCACCTTGAAGCACCTTTGTTCTTCCCTCTTAATTATCCAAGGTGCAAAGTTTTTATTTGATTTGTTTCACAACTCAGGGCTCTCAACAAGATGGGTATGCATAATGTCGAGATTCTGAGAACAGTTGCCAGCCATTCAATAAAACTCCAAGTCTTTTTCTGGCTCCTTACATTTTTATTTGATTTGTTTCACAACTCAGGGCTCTCAACAAGATGGGTATGCATAATGTCAAGATTCTGAGAACAGTTGCCAGCCATTCAATAAAACTCCAAGTCTTTTTCTGGCTCCTTACATGTACAAGCATGGTGCCAACACCACCGGATATTTAAAGCTTTGATGGAATTTTACTAAGAACAATTTAGAACTTCAGTGGCCACTTTGGTTAACTTCAGATATGAGTAAAATAACCCATGTGCATGGCACTTTAGAATCAAATGGTTCAAATATTTCAAATACTTGATGATCAGCATTTTTTTGCAGGTATAAAGAGGAAAATTATAAAATTGCTTCCTTCATTAGGAAAGGCTAATAAAAACCAGGACGGATCTAAAATCCAAACTTAGAACTCTCCTCTCCCTCTCCCAACACAATTGCATGTTGGCCGGACTCTGGTTCTGTGAACCTCAACCTGCTCCTCCCTCTTGCTCTGCTAGTCCTCCCACACTAAACCTTTCCTCTCCTCCACCACCCCTTCCTAAACACATCCCTCTCACTGGACAATATATCCTCACAGTGTTTGGTTTTGTTTGTTTGGTTTTGGCAGCTGGCTGTTATGGGAATCCATAATTTTTTTTAAATATAGATGGGAATAAGTCAATGGATTTATAACTTCAATGCTTGGTCAAGATCAGATTTGCATAATCTAGTTAAGGACTTCACAACCCCTAGAAAGGAAAAACAAAAGTTCACTGAATAATTAAGGATTGTCCTTGGAACACATATTCTGGGACTCCTTAGTCTCTATCAATTAATTTATCAACATGATATGAAATATATGAATCAAAATTTGATCATGGATGGATATAAAAGAGCATAAACATAAGACAAGATCTCCCTAAAATCTTTCATGTCAAAGTTGAGTGGTAAAAATTAATCCAGTCCTATAAACTAGAAAAGAATGAAGCCATCCAAATCTGAGAGAACATTAACTATTTCACCTTCCAGGATTACTCTGATCTCCATAAGACAGTATCACAATTGCCTTGCGTACTTTCTGTTGGTGATGGTCTTATAACTGAGGTGTACCCCATTAACTATTGCACCTTCCAGGATTACTCTGATCTCCATATGACAGTATCACAATTGCCTTGCGTACTTTCTGTTGGTGATGGTCTTATAACTGAGGTGTACNTCTCCCACAGTGTTTGATGCCAAGACTCGAATGCCTGGACCTACTTCTGATCACCCCAGACCACTCTGAAGAGGATAGAGAATGCAAGAGACCCCTCGAGTCTTCTGCAAGTCCCAGGCACTGGATAGTAGAGTGAGTTCTACCCTGATAGTATTTGCCTTTCTTCACCTTGAAGCACCTTTGTTCTTCCCTCTTAATTATCCAAGGTGCAAAGTTTTTATTTGATTTGTTTCACAACTCAGGGCTCTCAACAAGATGGGTATGCATAATGTCAAGATTCTGAGAACAGTTGCCAGCCATTCAATAAAACTCCAAGTCTTTTTCTGGCTCCTTACATGTACAAGCATGGTGCCAACACCACCGGATATTTAAAGCTTTGATGGAATTTTACTAAGAACAATTTAGAACTTCAGTGGCCACTTTGGTTAACTTCAGATATGAGTAAAATAACCCATGTGCATGGCACTTTAGAATCAAATGGTTCAAATATTTCAAATACTTGATGATCAGCATTTTTTTGCAGGTATAAAGAGGAAAATTATAAAATTGCTTCCTTCATTAGGAAAGGCTAATAAAAACCAGGACGGATCTAAAATCCAAACTTAGAACTCTCCTCTCCCTCTCCCAACACAATTGCATGTTGGCCGGACTCTGGTTCTGTGAACCTCAACCTGCTCCTCCCTCTTGCTCTGCTAGTCCTCCCACACTAAACCTTTCCTCTCCTCCACCACCCCTTCCTAAACACATCCCTCTCACTGGACAATATATCCTCACAGTGTTTGGTTTTGTTTGTTTGGTTTTGGCAGCTGGCTGTTATGGGAATCCATAATTTTTTTTAAATATAGATGGGAATAAGTCAATGGATTTATAACTTCAATGCTTGGTCAAGATCAGATTTGCATAATCTAGTTAAGGACTTCACAACCCCTAGAAAGGAAAAACAAAAGTTCACTGAATAATTAAGGATTGTCCTTGGAACACATATTCTGGGACTCCTTAGTCTCTATCAATTAATTTATCAACATGATATGAAATATATGAATCAAAATTTGATCATGGATGGATATAAAAGAGCATAAACATAAGACAAGATCTCCCTAAAATCTTTCATGTCAAAGTTGAGTGGTAAAAATTAATCCAGTCCTATAAACTAGAAAAGAATGAAGCCATCCAAATCTGAGAGACCATTAACTATTGCACCTTCCAGGATTACTCTGATCTCCATATGACAGTATCACAATTGCCTTGCGTACTTTCTGTTGGTGATGGTCTTATAACTGAGGTGTACCTGTTGGAAGGGACATTATGAGGTATCATTAAATACAAACACTGCAGTGAAATTCCAAGGAATCATCCCCACTGGATTTATAATTCAAGATATCATACACCCACATCCTGGACTTTTACATTGACCAGAGATCTAAAGCTGAGACTCCATCAGGATTCTTCTAAAGAAAATGGCATCACAAAGGAGACAGCTTTTGCAAGATCTCAAATCAAGTAGCATACGGTTAGACATAGACACCTTTTGTGCATGACCTTCAGACCAAGATCTACACCACAGGGAGTCACTGACTGCCATACTCTTATTTTTCTCTTTCTCCTCATTCTTTTCATAACTATCTTTTCTCTTCTCTTTTGGCTTCAAGCTTTGCTAAAATGAGATTCTTAAAATCCCTTCACCTAATTATGTTATTATGGCTGCCACAGATCAAACTTTTGTCAATCAAGAGAATGAACAAAGTGTTAGGCCTGTTTACAGATATCAAACTTCTCATTGGGTTGAGGATGGAACTGCTCTGGCTGATCTTAGGTGGGGCAGGATCTTGACTAAGAGGCATTATTCAAGGCCTTCTGGTAATTCTTTTAATATGCAATGTCTCCAAAGTCACTTGCTGTGCTGTCTTAAACGCTTCTGGTTAGCCACTCACTCAAACATGACTGAAATTCAACTACAAAGGCAAAAATCACAAGAAACTGATAGTAGTCATGGCCAGTGAGTGTGAGTTATGTAATTTGGAGGAGTGAACAAATGAGAACCTGACCACATAATGAGACTTGGTCTCCCTGTTGACCAAGAGGCAGGAGACAGTAAATGACTGACGACATTTTACTGTGACCCTCACATGACTTGGCCCCTCTCACCTGTTTCTCCCACCCCTTGATAAAAGCAAAATTTCACATCCAATCGACAGTAAACCACAAAACAATTTCTCCTCTTCTGCAAACTACCTTTGACCCTCTATTACGAAAATTTGCTGAGCTTCAGATGATTTTCTTGCTAAAGGTCTAAAAACTTTGCCCTGGAAAACTTTCTCCAAGGAAGAACACTCTATCAGGGTCTTCTCATGCTTTAACTTTCAGGATAAGGCTCTGGGGCTTAATTGGTGCTTTTTCTCTACACCCGCCATGTTTCCACTGGTCAGCAATTTCCTGACTAACACAGACAACAAATGCAAGGGATTATGAAAAATTAAAAACTGTCATTGTTACGATAGTGAGATTATTAAGAATAGTTTCCTATTTTCCAAATGTTCTCTAAGATAGTTATATTATCTTAATAGTAATTACATCTGCTAATGAAAAAGGGGAGAAATGTATTACTCAGTTCCTACACAATTAAAAACAACTCCAAGCAGCATTTCCAAGAACATTTTAGAAATCCGATATTTTCCAAAAAGATACTCAAGATAAGTCTTGAGTCATTGGGGGTATTCGTTTCTTTAACCTTTTTCTTTCTTTTAAAAAAAAATGCCTATTTCCCCAGTGGATATGTGAGTATTTGGTTTAAAAATGACCAACGTCTCAAATGCTTTGATTTCCTGCCACCTACTCTTCTCCAAAATGCCAAATTAATGGTATCTGATGTTAACAAAGTGAGGCACCACTGCTAAAAATGTCTTTATGATGGGGTAGGGAGAGAGGGGGAAAAGCAGGGGTAATTTTTTCCAATATGTTTGTCATTATTATAGGTTATATATACAGAAGGAAAGTTAATTAAGCTTTAAAAAAAATCCATCACA